CTTTCATTTGAGTACCCACATCAATTTTTTATATATTTATCCGAAGACACGATAGTGTCTCGCGCCAAGTACACGCCCAACAATGGCGTGAGACAACGTGTCTTTATTCTCTAATCATATGTCAACATAACCTCTTTACATATTTAGCTCTATATTTTTTATTATTACTAAGACACTAACACTTTACACCATTGTTAATAAGTTTCTTTTTACCAATTATACATATATTACAAAAAAATGTTGGGTCTTAACAATTATTTAATTAATCGCGAGTTTGAAAATTTTTACTTGCGCCTGTTTTCGATTCTACTACGAGAGATTTTACAAATTTAGGGTGAATTTTATTATTTCGAAGTTGGCACTACTTAACTCTGTTATTCTACCGTCTAAATAGCTAGTATACTAAATACTGAACTTAGTGCCCATACGTAGTTGGTCTTTAGTTTAGAATTTCAATATACGACGGTAGGTGGAGCCACAAAACCATTACCACTGTATTTTAGAAGCATATTGGTCAGTCACGCGCATCATTTAAAGTAAAAATATTGTAATAACTTTGTTTGTAATTAAATTATTACAAAAATTCATGAATAATGAATTAGCTGTATAACTTAAAAAGTACATATTTGGAATTTAAAAATGCTGATAAAATATTTGATTATATCCCTTAATATATTCAAATATTTTATCAGCATTTTTAAATTCCAAATATTTACTTTTTAAGTTATGCAGCTAATTCATTATTCATGGATTTTTGTAATAATTTAATTACAAACGAAGTTATTACAATATTTTTACTTTAAATGATTTGCGTGACTGACCAATGTGCTTCTAAAATACAGTGGTAATGGTTTTGTGGCTCCACCTACTGTCGTATATTGAAATTCTAAACTGAAGACCAACTACTTATGGGCGCTAAGTTCAGTATTTAGTATACTAGCTATTTAGATGGTAGAATAACAGAGTTAAGTAGTGCCAACTTCGAAATAATAAAATTCGCCCTAAATTTGTAAAATCTCTCGTAGAATCGAAAACAGGCGCAAGTAAAAATTTTCAAACTCGCGATTAGTTAAATAATTTTTAAGACCCAACATTTTTTTGTAATATATGTATAATTGGTAAAAAGAAACTTATTAACAATGGTGTAAAGTGTTAGTGTCTTAGTAATAATAAACAATATAGAGCTAAATATGTAAAGAGGTTATGTTGACATATGATTTATATGATGAGAGAATAAAGACACGTTGTCTCACGCCATTGTTGGGCGTGTACTTGGCGCGAGACACTATCGTGTCTTCGGATTATATAATTTAAATTTCCTCCACCACCAGTTACCTAAAAAAATTTATCTTACCGACAACTAATTTCTTACTTATAACTTAGAAGACTTGGAAGACAGATCAATTGTCGTTCTTTTGTAATGTTTCATGGGTTACAGTTTAATTTTTTTCATAAATATGATATCTAAATGTTTTTATGTGTGTATTTTATTATATAGAATTTATTATTATTTGACATACATTAAGTGTTATGTATGAAGTATTAAATGTATATAACTTGTTAGAGAGCAAGTTACTTTTTGAATTTCTTTACAATTATTACATTGGCTACATTTCCGTTCGGATCACTCAGATGACCCCCTTCTAAAATACAGTTGTAATGGTTTTGTGGCTCCACCTACTGTCGTATATTAAAATTCTAAACTAAAGACCAACTACTTATGGGCGCTAAGTTCAGTATTTAGTATACTAGCTATTTAGATGGTAGAATAACAGAGTTAAGTAGTGCCAACTTCGAAATAATAAAATTCGCCCTAAATTTGTAAAATCTCTCGTAGAATCGAAAACAGGCGCAAGTAAAAATTTTTAAACTCGCGATTAGTTAAATAATTGTTAAGACCCAACATTTTTTTGTAATATATGTATAATTGGTAAAAAGAAACTTATTAACAATGGTGTAAAGTGTTAGTGTCTTAGTAATAATAAAAAATATAGAGCTAAATATGTAAAGAGGTTATGTTGACATATGATTAGAGAATAAAGACACGTTGTCTCACGCCATATGTTGGACGTGTACTTGGCGCGAGACACTATCGTGTCTTCGGATTTAAATTTCCTTCACCGCCAGTTACCTAAAAAAATTTACCTTACCTACAACTAATATTTCTTACTTATGACTTAGAAGACTTAGAAGACAGATCAATTGTCGTTCTTTTGCAATGTTTCATGGATTACAGTTTAATCTTTTTCATAAATATGATATTTAAATGTTTTAATGTGTGTATTTTATTATATAGAATTTACTATTATTTGACATATATTAAGTGTTATGTATGAAGTATTAAATGTATATAACTTGTTAGAGAGCAAGTTACTTTTTGAATTCCTTTACAATTATTACATTGGCTACATTTCCGTTCGGATAACTCAGATGACCCCTAAAAAACTAAAAAACTTCAGGATCAGCGCCTCTGACAGCTAAAAGAGGTAAATAAAATCGCGACTTGAGAATTCTAGTTGAAGTTTTACCTCGGTTTCACACGTGCAGACATAACCAATATTAAATAACGCGTATTCTCGTAAAATTATAACCAAAATAACTAGCGTAATTATCAATCAAACATTCGTTTTAAATCTACAAAGAAATTTTTAATTTAAAAAATAATGTGAAAGAAATAAAATGTTATCAATCAAAAGTTTATTAGGAAATATAATTTCTCCAAATTCATTGAAACCCAAATTGTTGTCGAGGTAGAGTAATTTAATTGTGGACTGTGATGCAATTTTTATAAAATATATTGTAACAATATAGCTTTCTCCAAAACATTTTTACTCATAACAAAGTTTATATTTTTACTCATTATCGTTTATTTTTATTTTATTCTGTATCATTTCAAATCCAAGGTCTGATGTGTCTACAAATTTGGAGCTTTAAAAATATTTAAATTATCTTAGAACAAAATAAACTCTTTTGAAATAAAAATATTTTGGAATAACTTAAATTTTTTATGAATAAATTGATTAATAAAATTGATATTTTTTTTTTTTGTTTTTGATAGATCATTAACTCCACTAATAAATGAATTTCACAGAACAAAAAAAAGTTCTGTTGAAGATTCGACACGCAGAAATAATAAAAGAAGAAGTAACTTAAGAGATAAAAAAATTCCTTACAACGTGATCGAGTCGTTGTTTAAACCAGTTGAAGTGTTGCCTGATCCGTACGATGAACATCTAGGTGCCGAAATTACTGGGAAATTAAATAAATCAGATGTTTACAAAATCGTGAGTGCCTTTATTCAACGAAAAGAAGTACGAGATCTTGCTAAAGACGAAGGATTGTCAGGTAATTTTTCGATGGATAATTTCAATTAAAGTTAATTATATTAAAATGATACTAAAATTAGCAGACATTTAACAATTCTTAAAATTTTTATAATAAATCAATTATTATAAAAAAAAATGTTATAAAAATTTTTAAAATTTTTAAATGTCAGTTAAGTTTAGTATTATTATATTAAAAGTTATAATCCTGAAATTATTTATAAATTGTGTTTTTGCAGCTGATTTATTGAAAGAGGCAGTGATAGGTTTTAAACGGTATTGTGATAATCCAGACACTTTACCGGTAGATCTGCATGTTATCATAAGTGATCTCATCAAAGGATCTGGACATGTCTTGGACATTTATCCGTATTTTATGCGATTTGCAAAGGAAATGTACCCACATCTTAATTGTATGCCTGATTTGATGCAAATAAGTGATTTAAGAAATCCGGCTAAATGGTAAGTTTTAAATAGAAATTTTCAACTGCTCATTTCGAATAAAATAAAAAAATTTTTTTGAATAATTATTATTTATTGCTTAGGTATCCTCAAGCGAGATTATACAAAAGAAAAATAATCTTTCATGCTGGGCCAACGAATAGTGGAAAAACTTATCACGCATTAAAACGATTTAGGAGTGCGAAAAATGGAATTTATTGTGGTCCACTTAAACTTTTAGCCGTTGAAGTTTTTTCAAAAACAAATGAATTGGTACATTAATTTAAATAGTTGTATTTTAATAGGTTTTTTATTTGTTGAATTTTTTTTTCCAGGGTACGCCGTGTGATTTAGTTACTGGAGAAGAAAGATTATTTGCTAATAATGAAGATAATCCTGCTGAACATGTCGCTTGTACGGTTGAAATGGCTAGAATTGATGTTCATCGTAAGTTTTTATTAATATAATTAACTAGATAACCGTGGACAAAATAATCGAACGACAAAATATTATAATAAAAATATTTTCGTATAAACACACAAAATTCATGAAAAAAGGGCACATCAAAATAACAAGCCTATATTATTTTTGAACTCGAATATTTGGATAGTTGTCATGTGGATATTTTGTCCATGATTATTTTGTCGTCCGGTTATTTTGTCTGAGGTTTTTTTTTTTTTGTTACGGCACCCATTAATAATTTCAATTTTTTTTAACCTTATATATTTTTAACAATCCATAAATTATTGATAAATAGGTGAAGTGGCTATAATTGACGAAATACAATTACTGAAAGATAACGACAGAGGTTGGGCTTGGACAAGAGCATTATTGGGTATCCCCGCTGATGAAATTCATCTGTGTGGTGAAGCAGGAGCTATAGATTTAGTATGTAATAACTTAGTATAAATTATTACTATCTTAAAAAAAAAATCTAAAACTAAAAACGAATTTTTCAGGTTAAAAAAATATGTGCCACCATGGACGAAGAAGTTGAAGTCCACCCTTACCAACGTCTTACTCCGTTAACGATAGAAAATCACGCAGTATCATCGTTGAATAATATTCAACCAGGAGACTGCATAGTTTGTTTCAGTAAAAATGACATTTATGCCGTTTCGCGAGAACTCGAGCTTTTGGGTAAAAAGGTAGCTGTTATTTACGGTTCGCTTCCACCAAACACTAAACTGAAACAGGCTGCTAAATTCAACGACCCTAATGATCCGTGCAAAATTATGGTCGCTACTGACGCGATAGGCATGGGATTAAACCTGTACATATTTTTTTAAAGTATTATTATATCTTTCTTCTGTAAAATAAATCCTTAATAATTCTTTTTTTATACTCTAGGAATATCAGAAGGATTGTATTTTATTCACTGAGAAAGCCGACAGTAAACAACGACGGGGAAAAAGAAATAGACATATTAACTGTTTCAACGGCTTTACAAATTGCTGGTCGTGCTGGCCGTCATGGAACTCAATGGCAATCGGTATTTATTTTTTTGATATTTTTTCTTATTTTAGTATTTATTTCTTTACACATATTATTCATTAATTATTTTAATTATTTTAATTATTTAGGGTTTCGTAACAACCTTCAAGCCTGAAGATCATTCATTATTAAAAACATTATTAAGTCAATTACCAGAACCAATTTTGAAAGCTGGGTTACATCCTACCGCAGATCAAATAGAGCATTGTGCATATTATTTGCCCAAATCAACACTATCAAATATAATAGTAAGTTTATATTGATTACAACTACCGAGTAATTGCATTTACAACTGGTATTCTTTCACAAATCAATTGACAATTAATAATTTATTTCTTCAGGACATCTTCGTATCGTTATCTAGAGTTGATGATTCGCTGTACTTTATTTGCAATATCGATTATTTTAAATACCTCGCAGACAAAATTCAAGACATTAATCTGCCCCTCAGAGCTCGTTATGTATTTTGTTGTGCTCCAATCAATATTAAGTCGCAATTAGTGTGTGTTATGTTTCGCAAAGTAAGTCTCTAATCTCAATATACGACTCAATAATAGCAATTTTTCCTATAAAAAATAAAACTAAACAAAAAATTTAATTACAGTTTGCAACGCAGTATTTCAAAAATGAACTCATTACTTGTTCGTGGCTGTGCAAGCAAATCGACAACTGGCCTTTGGAGACTCCTAAAACCATTGTTGAATTAGTTCATCTCGAAGCTGTCTTCGACGTGTTCGATCTATACCTTTGGTTGAGGTAAATTATTCATTATTAATTTATTTTTATTTTGTTAAAGAGATAATATTTATTTGATTAATATTTATTATTATTAATTCACTTAGTTACCGATTTCCGGATCTTTTCCCGGATCAAGAAGCAATTCGCCAAATACAAAAGGAAATAGATTTACTGATTCAAGATGGTATTATTCGATTAACTAAACTTTTTAGTAGAACAGAACCAGGTAATACTTAAATTTTTAATTATATTTTGTTTACTCAAATTGTTTATTTTTCTTTTTTAATTTTAAATAATTACACGGTACTAATAAAGTAAAAATTATTTCAGCTGTAAAGATTAGTGGTGAGTTCCTACGAGAAAATGAGGACAAAAATGCCGATTTAAATCAAATTCAGCGTTATAAAGGTTTCATATAATTTTTATACATTTTTTTCAATTATTGAATAAGATCAAATTAAATTTGAGCGTATTTTAAATAATTTAGAAATCAATATGAATTTTTAATTAATTTCAGATCGACCAAAACCAATTTATGGTAAAGGAAAATTGACAAATAGACTTATATCTCAAGGTTTATTAACCGCAAATATGATCAAAGAACTTCGTCTTGAATGGGCAGAAGAACTTAAACAAGAAAATAAAGTAAATAAATTGGATGATATTTAATCGCTAATAATGATTTAGCTTTTATACTAATTCAAATAATTAGAGATAATAAAATTTTATTTTTAGTCAATATCGAATAACGACAAACCAAGGACAAAAAAATCACCCGAAGTTCCTAAAAAAACAAAGTGTATGTGTGAAAGCTAAACTATTTTATGAATGAAAATAATAATGATAAAATACAAGCTAATTGAAAATTATTTTATATATTTATAGGACTAAAAATGTATAATAATAACTGCGTAATGCCGAGTGACGAGATAATTATAATTATTTAGATACCGAATCAATTTTTGACTGATCTTTACAATAATTGAGTCAAAAACCAAATAATTACGAAGCGAATGACTGCGTGAAAATTAGTGACTGTAAAGTTGTAAAATAAATTTATGGGAATATTTTATTCAAGAAAATATACGCAATATTTATTACTCAATTATTTCAACAAATTAAGTTTACATTAACAATAAATAGAGCGAATGATTAATTAACAACGATCAATTAATTAGCACACTATTAAATTGCTATTTTAAAATAAGAGTATTATAATTAGTAATTGAAAAAAAAAAAAAATTTTTTTTTTATAATACAAACAAAATTAAAACGTTAAAAATATATTACATTTAATGTATTATTAGCATTATTACTTTGATTGTTTCATTACAAAATAATACTTGTAAGTTTGTTGATTGCAATGCAAAAATATGAGATTAATTATTATATTATTAATATTATTATGGAATACGGCAAAGTTTATAAACGCAAGATATATCAATCGACTAGACATTAAAAATTATATAAACGAAGACAGAATTTTTTTTTAACTTCGAGCAGGAGACATTGAATTCATTATCATTAGTTTTTTAAAAATTATATCAGCAATTAGAATTAGCAATAATTAATTATAGTTTGCGAAGAACCCATTGTGCTAACTTTTAATTTCAAAAACGTATATCAAACCATCATATTATAAATATGATTAACTTTAAATGTAAAACTTGGAATTAATTGTCTTGTTAGAATCAGATAAAGATATAAATGTATGACAGATAAAAACTTGACTCGATCAATGTTATTTCAATAATTGTACCAATAACTTTTGTAAATTACTTCGTCGTAAAAATATGTATAATAAATATGTATATATATATAAAATTAATTTCATTATAATTACTTAAAAATTAAAAATTTCACGAATCTAAGCCTCTGTGCTTGCGTTTTATTCGTGCGTACGGCCCGATCTCTGGGTCCATTATGAAGTCGTAGATCACCGCTGTCCAGGAGTTGTGATGAGGTAAGTTATCGTAGAATTCAGAGGCTATTCTCCTTACCTCCGGCAAACGCGACCCAGGAACAGCCGGGAAGTCGTGGTGCTCATTATGATAACCAACGTTAAACGTAATCAGATTTAACGGTCCGTAGTAACTGTACGTCTCATACCCTTTTTTGTACATGTAATGCTCTGAAATAAAGTGTCCAGCTACTGGGTGTAGCCCCATTGCCATCACTCCACCCATTATCAAATACACCAATACTTTTCCACCTAAAAATATTTTTTATAAGTCTTATTATGTGCAATCCTAAGAATTAAGCATAAAATGCCAGTTACAAAAATATGTGCAGTGCTTACCCAAAAAATACCAAACAATGGCATCGAAAATTAATTGTATTACTAAATTCACGTACTCCAAAAATGTCGGAGGCTTTGGATAAACGATCAATGGTCTGAATGAGTAGAAAAATGGCTGCAGTAATACCCAGCAAAATTTACCAAATGTTGTACAAAATAGTTTAGCTTCAAGTAGTGTCGGCAAGTCAGTATCTAAATATTCATCGCCTTGGTACTGTAAACAAAAAAATTTAATAATTGTCTTTTTATTTTGAATTAAAAGAAAAATTTCGGTAATCGGAAAAAATAGACCTGGAAAAAAATTTAAAGTTATGAAAAATTCATATTATTTCATTAAAATTATTATAAAATAAAAATTACAATAATAATAATAATAATAATAATAATAATTGTACATCACACCCACAATTTTCCTGAAAAACAAGCACCCCCAGAATGATCGGTCCATTTTTTGTTATAAAAAAAAAAAAATAAAAAAAAATTTTATTATTATTATAATTTTTATTTTAATTTTCGGGATTCAAAAATTTCTTATCAAAATCTTATATTGAGAAAAAAAAAAAATTCATAAAAATTATTTAAAATACCATTTTTAAATTAACTAGCGAAATTTCATAATTTTGGCTTTTCTTTTTAAGAATCAAATTATTTAATACTTACACGATGATGCTCTAAATGGTATTTTTTAAAACTAATAGATATTGGCAATCCAATTGGCAGGTTAGCAAAAAATCCAAACAATTTATTAGCCATCGGCCTTGAGTGTCCAAACGCTAGGTTGTGTGATATTTCATGAACAGCTGATTAAATAAAACAATTCAAAAAAGAAAAATTAGTTGTTATCTGTTGGTAGTAGCCAATGGTAAAAATAGTTATTAACTACAATCATTCTAGGAACAATCATGTACTTGTGATTAAGAACGATAAACAGCCAACAAATAAACGTTAAATTTATAAATGACTCACCTAACATAAGAGAGTGGTTAATAACACCTCCAAAGCAATAAGCCATCAGGAATAACATTGGATAGCTTAAATCTTTTACAATAAACATTGAAGCAAATTGTATCAACACCATAAATGTCACCACCCATTTGAAATTCGGGTCGTATCCAAACAGTTTTTTTATCTGCGGATATTTTTCTGTTTAAATAAACAAAAAATTCTGACGTTAGCTCAAATTCTTCAGCATAATTAATAATTTAATATCTAATCTGATAATATGATCAATCATAATTACCCAATATTAATTTTCGTCGACTGGCATGAGGTTCTTCGGTGTAAACCCATTCAAAATCCGTTCTAGAAACTGCTTGTCCCATTATTTAATTATCTATTTAGTTGGTATTATTCAATTTCATAGACTGTTTTGAGCGTTTAGTGATAAATAATTATTTATTGCTTGTAGAAAAAAATTTTATGTTTATTGTTATCTACTTAAAGGAGTTACTGTGTAAATACCGGCACTTGCTTACAGACTAAAAAAAATAAAATTACAGTCATATGGAAGTGGTCATGATCTTGAGCACGTACTTACTGATTATTATTATTATTATTATTATTATAACTTAGTAAGTAATTATTGTCAAAGAGGTCAGCACATAACTATTTTATAGTTTCATATTAAAGAGACACGCATTGTAATTTATTTGAATTAAAGGTTCCCAACAAACGGGATCGAATTGAAAATTGAAAGTCAATACGATTCTATTTGATTCAATCAGACTTTTGAAACCTGTTTGTCGCATTGAAAAGTATTCAATCGAATAGAAAATTTTCGAGGTAGAAAGCTGAAGTTACCGACCAAGCTAGAACCACTTACCATCTGTAATCAAAGTAGAATGTAAGTGATAAACAAAAATGTACGAGAAAAGAAATGTAGACAATTTGTTGTGAATCCGAAAGGATTGATCACAACGCTCTCTGTATATTAACATAGAATTACGTATAAAAAGATGGCTGCAATGAATGATAGCGGGAAAAACCCAGTAAGATTTAAAATATGTATTTATTTGTAATAGTATTAGTAAGAGAAATAAGAATCTTTCAAATGTCGTAAACCTTTCTATTTTAAATTCTATTGTCAAGTATGGGAATTTTTCTATTATAAATTTTAGGGTATAGACGAATTTATAATTACCGGAAACTCCCAAGGGAAAACATAAAAACTTTTAAGTGCCGTGCAGTTAGTCTAGACATTCTGAGAAAAATTTCCTTGTTAAAATAAACTTACGCTTGTAATTGTAATGGTCACTTAGAATAAGATACCGAACGTTTTGGAATATTCGAACCCAAAGGTACGAACATCTCAACCAGGGGAGTCGGACAGCGAAAAACAAGAAGACACTTATCAATAAGCAAGACTTAAGTACGCCACGCGAATATTTTCTTTTTCGGAATTATTGTCGGTAATTTTATTTTGTAATTTACTGAATAATAAATAATAGATTTGCGCGCAAGGCAAATCTAAATTAAACTAAAATAATCCGAGTATTTTAAATTTATTATATATGTTATTTAATTCAACTTATTCGAATTTAAATCTACTCTCCCGCCTTAATCTATTTACTGCGAGTTGAACGCCCTATCGCGTTCCAACGGGCGAATTAAAAGAACTCAATAAATTTACTATAGCTAATTTTGGGCTATACAACAAATTATAAATTTCGAAGGTGCAAGCTGAAAGAATATGTATGAAAGCTTAAAATTGTGTAACCTATTATATTAATAATTTATAAATTTAAAATTGAGCCGTAATAAATTGACGAACTTGATCTTACTTTGTAAAATAAGGTCTGAAAGGTACTCAGACATTTTTATTAAATGTTACTAAATACTCAAAAAATTTTGTTAAAATTAAAATTAAACGAATATAAATTATAACATTAAAATTATTGGACCTTTTAATATTTTTATTAACTAATAGAATATTGATTATTTACAAAATTAAATAATAGAAAAAATTTTTAATGAAAATTTTTTAAATATTTTTGATTTATTGTCTTTAAAAAAAAATGATTCTAAAATAGAGAAACATCTGATAATTTTTAGAATTTTTTTAACAAATAAATTATAGCAAGAAAATATTTCCGCTAATTAAACTTTAAAGTTGTTTAAAAAATTTCCATTTTTAGAAACTCAAAAAAAATGTAAATGCGATTTTTTTTAAATAATTTTCTAGACTTGGGACCAGTTTTTCAATTCAAGATAAAATTTTATCCTGGATTATTGAAAAACTGGCCCTTTAGTTTGTTTTTCAAAAAAAATCTAAAAATTGTCGTGTCTGCTAATTTTAGTGTCAAAAAAAATTCGCACATTGCTTAAATGCTTAAATTTTAGTATAAGACATATTTTAAATTGTAAATAAATAATTATTTGATTCATTAGTTTTATTCTAATTGTAAAGATATAACATAATACTGAAATTGAAAAATATCGGATAATTTTTTTAACGAATAAATTATTGCAAGAAAAATTTATTTAAAAAATTCCATTTTTAGATGCTCTAAAAAATTATAAACACATTTGTTTTTTTAATAATTTTCTAGAACTAATTTATTATTCAGGAAAAATAAAAAAATCTTCAAGTGTCTGCTAATATAAAAAAAAAAAAATTTCATCTTTAATATTTTAAAAAAAATTATAAATGGAATTTTTTTATAAATAATTTTCTAGATCTATTTTATTTTTCAAGAAAAATCAAACAATTGTCAAGTGTTTGCTAATTTCAGTGTCATGAAACACTACAAAAGAAAATTTATCTTAGAAGATCTTAGAAGACATAATCCTACTTTTCAGAAAAAGTTTTGGCTTTTGTAGAAAAATCGGTATAATGAGTTTCAATAAAATTTCTTTGACAAATCATTTTGTGTACATTGTACAATGCAGGTAATTACCAAATAATTAGTTAAATTAGATAAGGGTCGTTTATAAGAAGATGTGTTTTAAATAACTTATTTCCTAAGTAAAGTAGAAAATGTAAAATAAATCACATGAAATTACATTAAATAATAATTTTTATTTTAATTTAATGTATAATCATAATTATTATAAAATTATAGATTATATTGATTTTATTACTAAAATTACAGAAAAATAATTATTATTGAATAAAATAAAGCAAATATTAATAAAAAAAATTATTGAACGTATTTGTCCATAAATTTCTTATGAAAGTCAGAACGCAGTACATCGTTGATAAAACGTTTATCTCTCTTCGGTTCAGAGCGGCCACAATTTTTGAATACAACATCGTCGCTCCAACCTCTGCGGGCTTTCAAATTGCGATTTTCACTTGAGTTCCAGGCATTATTGAGAGGATTTCCTCTTAAGATTAGTTCCATCCTTACATTTTCTTCTTCTTTACGCTGTTTGTATTCCTTCTCAGCTTTCTGAGCTGCTCGTTCTTGTTTTATTTTGTTCAACTCCGCCAATAGCGCCTCTGTGTCATCATCGCTGTCTGAATCATCAGAATCATCCTCAATTAAATTTGCATCATCTGCATCTCGATTACGCACAGGAGCTTCAAGCTTCGAGCGTTTTGGATCAGGAACTTCACTAGTCGGCTCGATCATACGCCGGTTGCTGGAAGATGGCTTCTGGTTCTCCTGTTCTATTTTTTCCAATTCCTGACGGAAGTCTCGGTTCCGCAGCTCCTCAACAGTACCTTGTCCTGGCTCTCTGTACTTCAATTTAGTGTGAGATGGCAAGTCACGACTACTGTAGTGTTTTGAGAGAGCACTCAAGTCTTTTTCACCACGTCCTTGGCCTCCTCGAGCACAATGGTAAGTAGCTTTTCCACCAGTAGACATGATTGATGATCAATAATCGATGTTATTAAATAATTTAAACAGTAAGCACTATAATTTAACAGAATTATTAAATTTTAAGCACAAATTGTGACGGAAAGTCGAATTCAAACTGGATAACACGATGGTTAATGGACTGTACTTCAATTTTAACTTAACTAATGAACTCAACTGCGTTACTTTTGGCCATTTTGGCCCTCTTGTAGTGAAATTGAAGGACCTTACGAGCCAATCAGGTCATTGGAAAATAAGGAAGGGAGTATATTTGTGATTCTATTGGTCTGCGCTTTACGACAAAAGATTTTTCGAAATAAGACAAAGGTTTGAAATAGTCAGTCTCAATTATACAGTAAAAGCTGTTAAAAGTTACCCATAGGTTGTTTTTCTCGCTCTTGTTAGCGTTTTATGAGAAATTGAGACAGAACTATGGGTAACTTTTAACAGCTTTCACTGTAACTTAAATTTAATTAAAATTTTATATTAAAAATTTTTTCTAATAATTAAGTATAGATATCATTAGAAAATATAAATATATTATAAATTGTTAAAGAAAATATTTTTAAATAACTAATAACCGCTATGGTCAGGAATTATAAATAAAAAATGTAAACGGTAACAATATATATACATATTGAGAAAAAAAATTTCTTTTGAAAAAAATAAGAAATTTTATAGTAAAAAATTTAATTGTTGAAAATTTTTAACAAGTTTATTTCTTAGCTGAAGAAATAAAATTTTTTTTCTGAAGGAATTTTTTCTTTAGGAAAATTCACAAATTGTCTATCTAAAATTGTTTTTTTTTCAATATCTTTTATCAATTTATAAACTCTTTTGAGATTTTTATCAATCTTCATTTTAAATAATTAGTAAATTTACAATCATAGATGTTTTTGAAGCAGCTTGAAAAATCCAAACCGAAAAGGCGAAATTATTGAATTACTTTTGAATGTTGGCGCAGATATCAATTTGAAAAAAAAATTGTTATAACATGGAAAAATTTTCAACAATTAAGTAGAATGTTTTTTGGTTTTCTGCTTACTTATTTGAGTTTTGAGACGACAGCGCTCTGTATTAAAAAAAATGAGACCGAGATACATTTTGTATCTCTTTCTACAAGTTCGAATAAAAATGGCGACTACATGCTGTGTCCACATTCGGATTTCATAATTTTGTTTTATTTTTATCTATGTTGTTAAATACACTATGGTGTGTTATAATAAAAAAATTCTGTACAGTAAATTTATATTGTTAAAACCCGCGACCAATGCCGGTATTTAAATTATTTATGTAAGTTTTAAAATAAATATTAGCTATTTCTTATTTTTTTAATTACTAATTAATCGTTATTTTCAATTTTCAGGTAATAATTAAAAGTGACAATTGTAAAAAAAGAATAAACAATGTTTAAAACGCTAGAAAGAAAATTTTTAACAAAACTTTTAAATAGGTGTATAAATACAACAAGTATTAATTATAATTTACCACCAAATAGTGTGATGAATGTTTTTGATAGAAAAACAAAATTATTGCAAAAACAGCGAGCTGCTAGAGCTCCCGATGTCAAATTGTACGACTACCTCAAAGATGAAATAGGTAAGTAATGTAATAAAAAATTGAACATAAAATTTTTTTTTTAATATACTTTTCTTTATAATACAAAATAATACAACTCTTATAAAATAGGTTACAGGTTGGCAGATAGAATTTTTGACATAAAACGTGAATTTACAAATGTTCTGGAGCTGGGATGTGGAAGAGGACATATGAGCAAGCACATATCCGCAGACAATGTCAAAAACTTGTTGTTGAGTGACTTTTGTCCGGAGTATTTGGAGCAAGTTGTTATTACTGAGAACATAAATGTCAAGAAGCAAGTTATGGATGAGGAGAATTTCGAGTTGGATGAGAATAGTATGGACTTAATCATTAGTTCCTTAAATCTTCACTGGGTAAATGATCTTCCTGGGTGCTTTAGCAGGATTATCAGGACTTTAAAAAATGATAGTGTCTTTCTAGCCGCTATTTTTGGTGGTGATACACTCTTTGAACTCAGGTATGCTGATATCAACAATGTCGCGACCCAAATGCCAAAAGGGCGTATAAACTTTTTTTTTTTTTTTACCAATCGCCTCTGTAAAAG